TAAATGCCTTTGCTTATTGGTATAGTTTTAAGCAGGGACAAAGTGGTTGTTTAATCTTACTCCCATGTTAGAGGCATTTATCTTCCACCCTTTTGTATTTACTATTTACATCTTCATAAGAATGCCGACATTGTAGCCTTCACTATTAGCAATACTCCCTGATTTAATAGCAGTTAGGAATATCTCTATATTTTGGGCTTTATTAATGAACAGTGTATGTTCTTCTGTGTGCCTGCTTATGACAGGTTATCTGCTATAGATTTTGATCAGAAAGGAGTTAAAAGCGGGGGGATCAAGCAGAAAGACTACATGGAAAACATTGCCACCACTGCTGTGGTTACATAGGCAGCTGCAGAAGCCAAGACTTCTACGTTAAAAGAGGGTAATGAGTTAAAATGCCTATCCTACAGGAAGGGAAAGGTGGGGTGTGTAGAGAAAAAAGGTGTTTTCAGCTGACCTAGACTGTGAGCTGGACCCTGCTGCAAGCAGATACTCTCATGGTCTCTGGGGGCACTGGATGCCCAGGCTTCTGTGAAGAAAGCTGAGTGGGAGTGCTGTGTAAAAAACCCTCATTGTTGGAAACCCAGTTCCTGAAATGCAGTGCACTTATTGGCAAATTGAGGCTATTTATGGAGGAGGAATTTACTGGTTGGTGCAAGCATTGCTCAATTACACCTCTATAGCACCATGGCTCTTAGAAACCTATCCAGAAACTCTCCAAATCCCAGCTCCTCCTGCAAAGGAAAGTGTGAACCCGCCACTTGGAAGGGGGGACAGATTAGAAAAAGATCTCAGTGGGTGCAGCTTTACCCAGAGAGCATGAAACTGACCCCAGGTACAGCTCTAGCAGTTCCATACCATCACTGGTGCAAGAGCAATCAGCTGGTCAGGCGCCACTGGGGTTGGAGAAGTCCTATCATCATGATCAAAAATACTGCCAAGGTTGACTGTACACTTTCCCATGCACTACAGCTTTGTATTTGCCACCATTGATCACGGCTCTGGAGTGATGGAATAGAGAGAAGACAGAGAGCAGCAGGCTTGCAGGTGCATGGAAAAGAAGAAACCTGAAAGAACAATCTTTTATGCTTGCAACTAGTGTTTTAATCTTTGGAATAAACAGGGGCACTTGCAATTATGAGCATCTTTTATGGTAAATTACTGCTATTTATGTTGGCAATTACCAAGTGTCATACATGATTATTTTATATTCTTAAACTTTGTCAACTGAATGTGTAATCTTTAGCTCCCTATGTGTTTAAGACTTATTTTTACACACACAGTTACGTTTTTATATCTGCGGTAATTCACCAGTCAAAACATGATATGCATGACTTGGGTTCCAATCTTCCCATTTTAATTCTGTCCCCCCTCCTCCAGTAACTAGTCACGTTTGACTGATCTTTTCAGATTAAAAACTAAAAAGGAAGAGATATGTTGAATTTATTTGCAAATTCTCCTTGTTGAGCCCTGTCACTTTAGTGACAGCCCTCCCTGCATTCCCCCCTCATTTGGATTTGAAAAGTGGAAGTAACCCTTTTAAGACTGGACACAATTTCTTTGGATCATTTTTCTGTTTGCATTCAGAAGTTGATTTTCAAAGAGCTTTATTAATTGTGATAATCTAGAATATTTCAAATCGCACACACAAAGATGGCTTAAATCCCTGAGTAGCAGAGAATACCCTGCAGAAGGACTTCCTATGTTCCAAAGGACAGGTAAAAGCTTCAAAAAAATCAGCAAAGCAATTTTTTTCTCTTACGTGCAAAAGCTGATTTTCCTTCCATGAACGTGAAAATCCTAATTTTATTTAAGAATACAGTATCTTGCATCACTAGAAACAAAGATGGTCTTCAGTCATGCTGACCAAAACAAGTTTTGTGAGAGTTTAATTAACACTGCCTGTATGAGCATCTACCAAAACTGGTGCAGGATGTGGCTGTCCAGGACCTACTGACACATGTGCCACCACTGAGATTTTACCAAACTAGCCGAACAGAACTGAAATAGGATATAAAGAATGGTTTAGAACACCAGTATGTTACTGCCATGTCACCATGGTACCTTTGAGACACTGATACTGATATGAATATTTTTCCCTCTATGATTTATTTTGTAGCATTGAACCCATTTACCTGTTGGAGTGAGTGTATGTTTTTCCTTGACCGTACCACTGTTATCCAGGTTAAAACACTAACCTTTACATGCATAATTAAACCAGTGTTTATAACAGTCCAGTGTAGCAAAGCCTTAATTTTCAAATAGACTGAAATTCAAAATGCTTCTCTAAAATAATAATAAAAAAGAATGAAAATATAAGAGCAAAACAGAGGCAGATAGGAGTGAGCAGAAGCAGTATGAACTTGGCACAGCATTCAAACGCTCCTTCGGTAGACATATGCCTTTTTCCACGTTACTCCTGCTTACTGTAGTTGGTAGAAGGTTGCCCTCCCTTACAGAGTATTCTTTCCCTGGGCTAATCCTTTGAATTTAGCACTGCAGGAGCAAGGAGCCATTTCGTGCTTTGCGACTGCAGAACGTGTTCCTGTGTGCCAGTGGGAACATGTTCTTAGATGGTTTTCTTCAGTTTTCCCTGAAGTTAGTGCTGAGGCAATGGCACACACGTAAAATGGACATACATGTTATGCTGTACATCTTTCAGTCTGTATGAATATTAACTAATTAGTCAGTAAGAGCTGTGAGAAGGCTGTTCCAAATGGCAAAAGCTGCAGGGGATACGGCTCAAACACCAACTGCGTGTTGGGCCCAGAGAACAGGAAGGGAAGCAAACATGCTGAAAGGCTGGAGCAAGCCTGCAATAGGGCTTAGAAACTACAAATAAATTTAACACATTAAAACTGGTAGGAGCTCATGCAAATATAATGGTTATATTAAGAATGGACTGTCAATCTGGACTGTTAGCCTTCAGCATGGAGGGATTATAACACAAGTGCTAAGCCTTAATTACGGCAAATCAATGTTTTGACATACCACTTCAGGAAAACAAGTGTCCTCTGGTAAAAAGAGGTTTCTACATTTCTTTTTACTTTGCACTAGACTACTGAGACCTCCAGTGCATAACTTCTGAGGCCTTTGATTTCCTATTCTCAGTTTTCTTGGAAAATACAATTTTTTCCCTTGGGAACTAAGGATAATCTGGGAACTAAATCCAAGGTCCCAAGTTATATTCCCAGCTAACATACAAGCTCCACTGACAACCCAGCATCATTACTTGCCCTGTTCTCTCTATTCTGCTTACTCTGGCTGTGATTTTTGTGGCTGTCTTCTCTGTGAGAAAGTCTGCAACAGTTCAGAGTGAATGAGCATCCCTGGCAATATGCATGAGGATAATACTGCCTATTAAGAAGGAAAACATGGTTGGTGTAGTAGGACCTCACTTTAAAAATCAGGCTTATCATAGCTAGAGTAATGAACTGAGGGTGTGCTTGATGCCAATAGGCCATCCAGCATCATTATGACTTGACAGATCATGATAGGTTTGTGTCTATTTGAGGATGAGAGATCTGCTCTTTGCCCAACGTGTAACACAGTCATTGAAATGGAGTTTTATGCACACCCTGATGTTGCAAAAACCACCTGGGTTAGGGATGACTAAATACAAAACCCCAAGGGCCCAGCTACAGGCTGAGACAGTCCAGTCACTCCTGGCCCAACTTTTCTTTTTTTCCTGCCCAGAAAAAAGAGCAATGCTGAAAGCCCTTTCCTATGGGGTAAAGAGAGTGATGAGATATGAACAGAATCCTCCAAGTGTGTTCAATGCTTCCTGGGTCTTGAGGGGAAGCTCTTCGCTGAGGGAACTGGCTAGTTTGAGTCAGTACCAGATAAAGAATTTTTTTAAGACAGAGCATTAGAGGAAAGAATAAAGAAAAAAATATTTAAAAAAAAAAAGAAAAAAAGGAGGGAGGGATATTTACAAGTGCATGAATGGAAGCTTTGTTGGGAGTTTTCTGGGGAGATAAGGAGCTGGACTGGCCCATCTCTAAGTGGCATGGACACACTCACTCCCTTTGAGTCTCTCAGGAAAGAGCAAAAGGAGCTGCTGACATTTCTGCTTAAAAGGAAGAATCAATGAATCTTTGTTTCCCACTGCCTGCTTGTTTGACCTTCTTGTGTTGTGGAATAGAAAAGAAATAAAAGAGAATGGGTGAGGGGAGAGGGGATTCGTGTTAATAAAATCCAAGACAAGATCACAGCCCTCTGATCATCGCTGGAGATGCCATTATTTGGTTCTTGTCCTATTTGCTGCTGTTGCTCATTTCTGATTCTTGCCTTGCTGTAATAAGTCACACTCTTTCCAGCCATCATCCCTGTATTGACAGGCAAATGTCACCAACGTTTGATTGACGTCCATTGCTCCTGAATACAGAAGTATGATTTAGGAATCAATTCTGTTTGTTTATTTAAACAGCTCTTTGTGTACCTTGTATATCTGTAAGCAGGACAAGTTCCTTAATATTTTCTCAGCAGCAATGCCACTAATATTGCACATTCACCTTCCCACTCAGTCATAGAGGTGCTCACCAGACCTTGGGGGAGGAGAAGACTTTCATGAACACACACACACACACACACAAAGAAAAGAGAAAACCCCAAGATTTAACAAAATGCTTTGCTGCCCCCAAGTTAAACCAAAGAGATCTCTTCCTCAGGTCCAGCCATCTGTTGATTTGCATATGCCCCGCAGTTTTCTCTGGCTTCTAGACAAAAGGGAACACTTTCCCTAGGTGTCAGTTCGCAAGCAAAGCAGTGGCTGGCTTTAACACCGGGAAACACTGCTGCCAGTGATGAGTATGTCAGTTTTAATTCACAGAAAGAACTATTTCTTTCTCTGTCTTTATGGTTGTAATCGCGGTGAGGGGGAAGAGAGAGATCCGAAATTAATGTTAATCTCTATTATTGTGGGAGATATATTTTCAAATAACTTCTACTTGAACAATGGGTAAAGCATCTCTGCATTTAAAGAGGTATTTCCCATAAAACACCAACATGGTAGGGTGGCCTCAGGGAAGCGTTAAGCAGGAGGTGGATTGACCTTTTAATTCTCGATCGGTGACCTGAAGGGTATCCGGAGGCTGTTAAGCACATCTCTTCCCTTTGGTTTGCTCCAGAAAGAGCTGTCATCGCAAGATGCAGCTAGTGAGTGAGGCTCACGATTTCGCTGTTCATCCCTTTGCGGGAGGGGTGGGGGAGGGAGATAAGAAAAAAGAAATATGTATTTCCCACACTGACAGAGTAATGCCAAACTCTCTGCGAGTGGGAAGAGCAGAGCAGATGCTGGAATGAGATGCCAAAGCAGCTCCCCTTTCCCCTGCGCTTTTGGGTGCCTATAAATTGCTCCAGCGCGCTCGTCAGCCTCCTCCTCTCCTGGCAGGTGGCACTCGGGCAGGATCCCGCTCTCCCTTCGGCTCCGGCTCCGGCTCCGGCTTCGGCGCGGCGGCGCGGACACTGGGCGGCGGGCACCGGGGCGGCCGGGAGGCGCGTCCCCGCTGAGGACAGTCGTCTCTGAGAAGAAAAAAAAAAGAGAGAGCGAGAGCGAGCAGGCGAGCGGGGCGATCGCGAGAGGAAAGGCAAGTTCCAGGGAAAGTTGACTCGGACTGGCACAGCCTGCAAAAAAAAAAAGTCGATCGCCAGCGGGAGCATAAAAGTACGAGCGGCCGAGGCGCGGCGGCAGCGCTCCCTCCTCTCCCTCTCCGCTCCCTTGCCCGCCCGGTGGCTGCAGCGGCAGCACCGAAGCGCCGCGACCCGCGGGAGCCCCGCGCCACCGCCGGCCCGTGGGAGGGCGGCCGAGCCCCAGGGGAGCCGAGCTCGCACGGGCTCGGCGTTTTTTCGGCTCTGAGGAGGAACCCCGCCAACCATCAAGATTTTGTCCAAAAGCAGACAAGAGGATCGCCCTGCGCTGAGCCGGCTGGTGGGCAGCAGGCGGCGGCTGATCGCGGCCGGCGCGCTGGGGGTGGTGATGGTGCTGCTGCTGGTCATCCTCATCCCGGTGCTGGTCAGCTCGGCCGGCACCTCGGCGCACTACGAGATGCTGGGCACCTGCCGCATGGTCTGCGACCCTTACGGCGGCACCAAGGCGCCCAGCACGGCGGCCACGCCCGACCGCGGGCTCATGCAGTCCCTGCCCACCTTCATCCAGGGGCCCAAAGGGGAGGCCGGCCGGCCGGGCAAAGCGGGGCCGCGCGGCCCGCCGGGGGAGCCGGGGCCGCCCGGCCCGGTGGGGCCGCCGGGTGAGAAGGGCGAGCCGGGGCGGCAGGGCCTGCCGGGCCCCCCCGGGGCGCCGGGGCTGAACGCGGCCGGGGCCATCAGTGCCGCCACCTACAGCACCGTCCCCAAGATCGCCTTCTACGCCGGCCTCAAGCGGCAGCACGAGGGCTACGAGGTGCTCAAGTTCGACGACGTGGTCACCAACCTGGGCAACCACTACGACCCCACCACCGGCAAGTTCACCTGCTCCATCCCCGGCATCTACTTCTTCACGTACCATGTGCTCATGCGGGGTGGCGACGGCACCAGCATGTGGGCCGACCTCTGCAAGAACAACCAGGTGGGCGCCGCGCCGGGGGCAGTCGGGGACATGAGGGCAGCAGGCGCCCGGGGAGAGCCGGGCTCCCCGAGGGAGCGGGCGCTGTGCGGGTAGCGGGCGGAGCGGCACGGGAAGGGCGGGAAGCGGGCGGGGAGGGGGAGCCGGGCGGCCGCTGGAGGCGGCGCGGCTGCGAGGAGGGGTGAGCCCCGAGGGAGCCGGACGGGACCGGCGCTCGTCTTTCCGCAGCCGGCGGGGACTCTGCGGACAGCGCCGCCCCGCTCCGCCTCGGGTGCCCGAGGACCACCGAGGGGCCGGGGGTTCCGCGCAGAGCAGAACGCAGACTCGACGCTCTCTCCTCCCCGAGAGCTGCGCCGCAGGTGCCTCTCCCAGCCCGCCGTCCGGGCCGCCCCGCGGGCACAGCAGCACCTGTTCGGCGCCGCTCCCAGCCCGCCTGGGACACGGAGCGCTGCCCGCAGTTCTGCCGGGACGAGAGCGGGGGGCGGACACTCAGGCAGCGCTGCCCCCGCAGGGGTGAGCCGAGCCCGGCCCGCGGCCCGGCGTTCCCGGGGATGGGAAACTCCCCGGGAAGGAAGGGGAGCTGGGGACGGCGGGTGAGCTCGAGAGAGGGTGGTACTGCGTGGGGAAAGGGTGAGGTGGGTGGAAGGAAAGCAGGCACGGCAAAGGGCGCTGGGTTTGACACGCTCAGCCCCCGGCGGGGAGCGAGGTTTCTCCCCGCCCGGGAGAACTGGTGACAGAGTGAGCTCGGCGGCCGCAGAGTTCGGCCCTTGGCGGGCCAGCGCCGGGGGAGGCCCCGGCTGATGCATCGCGGCGGGGAGACACACCGGGCGACCGGAGAGCCCAGGCACGGCCTGGGTCTGTCGGCATCCCCCGTGGCAGGAGACAACGGAAATAATTAAAGGTCTTGCGATGCTACCTGTCTGAAAGACATAGGAATCATCTCTTTTAATTAGGATAAACCTTGCCACCGCGCTCGCAGAGGCTGTGCCTATAACATTGCCTCCGGGGAGCCGTCCTTTGCAATTTTGCGCCTCTTCCGTACGTAGTTAGCGGACGCGGATAGGTTGGCTCTAATTCCTACAGCGCTTGGCGGCACCGCCATCCCTCCGGCTCTGGGTGCCCGGGGGCAGTGCGGTGTGTGCCCGGGCGTTCCCGTGTCCCCGGAGCTCCGCGGTTGCTCCCGCCGGTCCCTTGGCCCCCCGTGCAGGGGGAGGGCGAGGGACCCGCCGAGCACCGGCTGCTCAACAGGTCCCTCACCGTCCGAGCCGGGCTGAGGGGTCGTACGTCGGCTCTGCCGGGCTCCGAGAGCCCGGAGCCAGCGCTGTCGCTCTCCCCGGGCTGTTCACCCCCCGGCGGGGCGGGCTGGGGGATTGATCAGCTCTGTGCGGTATCCGTGGGACTGAACAGCGGCCCCGTGCCCCCGCCGTGCCGGGCGGGTCGCGGATGGGCTCGTTCGTTTGAGCGTCTCGTCCCACGCCGAGCCCCGCCGGCTCACGGCCCTTTGTGCTCAGCGCACACCGGAGCGGCGGCCGCCGGTAAATTAACCTGATACACCACTTAACCTTTCGTTTATGGCTCCTCAGAAGGACTGTGAAAACAGAATAATGAGGACATAAGCGGCAATTAATTAAGTTAGAAAATATCTACTATAAATACCGTCTCAGCAGATAAACCAGGACTAGTAAAGCAAAGTATGTCGCAATACATTCACTTCGATATCTTCATACAAAGGGAAATCTTGTATACTACAAGAATACCATTTTACTTGCAAATATTTTTTACCCCTACTTATAATGTTTTAAAGTGTTTATTTTCACAAACCTTGAATATATATATAGCAGTACTTTTAAAGAAGTACCCAATTATAAATATTAAATTGAGCCTGAAGTCTAACCATTCCTAAATATAGCTACTTCCAGTACCAGACAGACAAATTAAACTCGTAGTTATTCAAAGAAGAAAAAAAAAAGGCTAGGGCTTCTGTGAATATATTTGTATATACCCGTGCAAGACAAGTATTTAGGTGATATAAACCACATATAAACTGTTTAAAATGGACTCGCAGTTTTAATTCATCAGTGATTATGATTTATACTTGAAACACTAAATGCTGATGTGACAGCGGTTAACTTTGTGTATTATTTATAAGAAAGCTCAGAAATTTTGGAAGTTGTGGAGTGACAAAGGTAACGTTACAAATCCAGTGTTTTCTAACAATGAAAAAAGCCAAACCATTGGAAAGTGTATATCAAATATAATTTCTAAGCAATACATATGTGGAACCTCAAGGTCCTCGGTGTTAATGCTACTTTCGTGGTTATCAAGCTTGAACATGGAAGTGCTGAGATGGCTCAGCAAATATGTGTGTGCAGCCAGAGAGCATAGCTTCATGAAAGGACTTGCATGGAACTTGTGAAATGTATTGTCCCTTAATGGTTTAATTTTGAGTTACATTTACTGTCTCGCAGCAGTACACTCACTGAGAATTCATTTGAGACTGTTCTCCTAGGCTTTAAAAAGAAATTGCTCTGGCTAACCAAGCAAGGAGGTAAAACCCCTAGGAATAGTGTACTGGAGTCTATGGGACCTTTGCTGCTATACACAGGGCAGTAAGATCTGCACTTTGGTTTCTAGACTTTCAACACCCAATATATTTTTTTTTCAGCCAGTATGTACTATCTGGAATCTTAAAAATGAAATATCCATTGCTGTTGTAGTCAGTGTCCACATGCTGACTCCTTTAGGATAGTCACTAATATAATTTGAGTTCTCCTTTATTATCCACAGAAACACAACATTTTATACAAATCCACAAAGTAGCATTTCATTAGGATGTAAATGGGAATTGGAAAAGTATATTAAAACCATCTGCTTGCCAGTATGCAAGACCCTAGTTGGAAGTTTTTCTAGCTCATATATAGTCTTTTCACTCCTCGCCATTTGGCCTTTCCATTTACACAGCCAGCAACCATTTCAGTCCGTTATTCTCTCTGGAAGGTATTTCCAGGGTTAATGACTCAGAGAGCCTTCAACTCCACCCTGCCCGTAATTAATCCAGAGGAAACATCCGGTGCTTAGAATAATTATTGCTTAAACACTAGCAAAATAGATCAATAATGGTAAACAATACCAGGCAAGTCAGAATCAAGAAGTCCTGAAATAGTCGGGGTTAATCATCATGCCATGTATCAGTTTAAATTTGCAGCCTGTCACAGCACTGCAAGCTTTTGCAGCTTACAGGATGCATAAAGAATTTCCACCTATTGTGATCTTTAAGCTGCATAATGCCATAAGATCCTGCATGGTAAAAGAACCCCCTCCTTTATAACATTTCAATATTAATGTGAAATCATATCACATGAAAATTTAATTTGGAAATTTATCATGTAAACTTTGAAAGGAATCCATGGAAAATTGTGACTTATAGCCTGTTTTTTCAATTCAGAACAGATAAAATCCCACATATAGTACGCCAAGTCATGTATTATTACTTAGTTCAGCTTTGCAATGCCACTAAATCATTTACTGCTCTGTAACTACACTAGAACAAAGGCAAGCAACAAGCAGATGACGTGTTACACTGAAATAAATCACATACAACCATGTTTAAATATTTTACCAAACACGGTCAAATTATATATAAATGATTTGGAGACTTACAGAGGCATAGACTGTTCATTGCTGGAAACCAGCATATATCTTGAAACTACAGATTACTTCCAGTTTGCAAGAAATGTCAAATTTAATCAGTAGCGGAATAGCAAGGGAGAAATAGGAAAAAAGTATGTTTAAGGGAAAGTTGCAAATGAAAAGCCCTCAATGACATGTGAATTCCAAAAACCTCTTAAAGCAAATAGAGACTTTTCTGTGATTTTTCAAAGCTGCATCTCTTAAAACACAGCAAAATTAAATTTTTGCTTACTGAAATGCGGCAATAGGAGTTTTTCCAAACCCAGACTAGGATCCTTACCTACTTGTGTGCATGTGTGTGGGTGGGTGTGTATTTCTTGTATTCTTTTCTGCAGCATGATCCTATTACTGGTATGACAATAAACTGCCTCTGGAAAAAGTCCAGCTGGGGAGCTCCCTGTGGATCCTCACCATTGTCAATCACTTGTCCCACTGAAATAAAAGTTACACCAATGTAAAACTAGCACATGACCATATCCAGTTCTCCCAACTCCAGTTATTCTTACACATATATTTAAAAAGGTTCCAGACATTTACAGGAGATCAAGAAGTTTTGTATTCATCAGATGACTGAGAAAGGAGCATGTTATTGCTTTAGTTTCAGATGTTGTGTTGTAGGAGAAAATAAGCAATAACCATAGGAAAAAACATGAAATATAGGTTGCCAGATGTTTAAAGTGGCAACTCATGCATGGTGAATAAAATCTTGAGGATATGCTATAAGTTCACAATGCAAGAAAAGCCACCTGAGTTTTCTTAACCACTCATTATGTATTTTATGTAGGTTCGAGCTAGTGCGATTGCTCAGGATGCTGATCAGAACTACGACTATGCCAGTAACAGCGTGGTGCTTCACTTGGAGCCAGGAGATGAAGTTTACATTAAATTAGATGGAGGAAAAGCACATGGAGGAAACAACAACAAATACAGCACATTTTCTGGATTTATTATTTATGCTGACTGATAATGAGTAAAAAGACCCACCAAACCAGTCCAAAAATGAAGCCTGCTCTTCTAAGTGATGGATTTGCGTGGCAAAAGTCAATGAAACAAGTACCCCAGCAGAGAGCGACCACCAAACACCTCAGTAGCGGGGGAAAAAAGTCAAATGCTACCTGATTCACATCTGTACAACACAGAGAAATCTTATGTTAAAAAACGACAAAACAAGCTCAACAGATGTGCGATCCACTACCGCCAAAGCAAATACTTCCTCATTGTTAGTGTCCATGTGAATGAAGTTCTACATAGATCAAATTTTTATAGGAAAAAAGCCCACCTAAGGACGCTGAGTTATTTCTTCAGTGTATATGATACTTTGATGTGCTATGATCTTGCTGCTTTATCCATACTTCAGCTTTGGTTCTTGTGACTTACTTGCTAACAATGATGCTTGGAGTCCACTGATAGTGTGGTGAGGAATGATTTTACAATAAAAGGAAGAGGTAATCAAAATATACTTTCTCTCTGCAAAGAAATTGTTTGCCTTGTACTTTTCTTACCCTTCCACTTAAAACTAGAAACTAATCATCTTCAAGCCTTAACTCAATGTTCCTGCTTTGTAGGTTTACATTAGACTTTTAACATAAAATCAGTCCAGTGGAGTTGTTTAAATTTTGTCTTTCCCTTAGCTGTGTTCTAAAAGAAAAAGGAGGATAGAAGAAACACTTTAATTTCCCCTGAAAAATGTAATAGTTGACAAACTATTCTATTGGATCAAATCCCTGATTCCACCAAAGCCAATGGCAAAACTCCCATTGCTATTAGTGGAAAAGGGATTTGGCTTTTTTAATTTGTATACGTGTAAATATATATTTAGACAATTATTACAGGCCCATTCTTGATGGTTAGTTATGTAAATATTTAGAAAGCCTATCATCCACATCATCACACTAAGGTAGAGTGTTTTCTTTGCAGCAATTAGTCTTCATTAGTCTTTTAGCACTTAGTCTGTACTTGGGTACTATTTTTAATAAAGTAGTTATGGATTAATATACTGCAGATGTTCCACTAGAATTTTGTAGGAATATAATGGGTCAAAACCTTAATTGTCTTAGGTGTCTTGTCTCACTGAAGTTAGTGGGATTCTTCCCACAAAGGAGGAGTGGGAGATCTGACACATAAGAAAATGCTGTCACACAGATCTTTTCCATGGAAGCTAGTTACCAGTTTGTAGTAAGGTGTGCCTATGAGATGGACACAGTTGAGCATATTACCAAAAATGATTAACACATATGCAAAGAAAGAAGCAAATATTTACATGCAAAAAAAAAGTGTGTATTAAAACTTATTTTTCTCATTCATATATGTATAAATATAGATATATAAAATCTAAAAGAGGTTTAATCCATATATAAGATTAATGGCTTGGAGAATTAAACTAAACACAGATACTATGAGTTACATCGTTATAAAAATGCTTTAGAATCAGTCATACCAGTAACATCCACAGAATATTTTTATTCAGAAAATGGATTTATTATTTGTTTTGGTTTTGGGAGGCTGTCTGTTTCTCTCATGTTAAAACTCGCAGATTTCATTCTAAACCTAAATTTTAGCAAGATTACTAAATAGTTCTTTAGCACAGTTGGTTATGTTATTTATTTTTAATATTTTGGCAAAATCAAGGCAACATTTCTATAAATCATTAAAGTGTAATAGAGGCTACCCCTACCATTGCTATTTCACGTACTTTGCCACAAGCAACCTTGTCTAATGTACTAAGGGTACACACTCAGATTTATCTGCACTAAAATGTCTGAAGTGTCTGCCACTGTGACAAAAAAGCTCTCCAGTGCTGGCTGCTCAGCAAAAGTCTGATAAAGATTGTACACATCTCTCTAGAAATCTCGTCTGAACAAGTGACACTTCTCTTAAACAGAGCATGTTACTCTTTGTTTCTGTTCTGAGTTGTCCAATTCAAAACAAATGCCGAGTGAGTCTCGGCTGACGGAGAGGATCACCAGGCAAACTCATGTAGGGTTTATAAGGGGACATAGTGCTGCCAGCTGCTTGTGTATTATCCCACCAGAATGGTTAATGCTCTTACTTTAAGACAAAGTGCCAGCCTGTATCTGTACATTGTAGTGATTCCTCCTGTTTTATTTCTACGAGGCAATTACTTTAATAACGAATGTGTAACTGAACTTGGTCTGTTTGCTCCACTGTTGTTTTACTGGTCAGTGCATTCACACAGCAGTGTAGCTAGAGATCCTCTATGTAGTGCCACACACCGATGCACCAAGCTAGAGATCACTCACAACCAGCAGTGCGATTTACTAAGGTGTTTATTGGAAAGGCTCAATACTACAAGATGTATATGGTCAAATTTGAAGAAGCTTTTGAAATCACGCTCCCACTGCTACTGGATAACACCATTTTTCGGATAGATCACATGCCCTGGTTAAAGTTAGGCAAGAGCAAAGAACACACTTTATGTAAAAACCACATATAAGGCAAACATTTCTTCCTTTTTCATCATATCTTGATATACTGATTTGTAAAGACTTATATCACAACCTTTGTTATAACTATTACAACTCATTAAAACTGTATTATGTAATATATTTTGACTTCTGGTGTTGCATCTTTACAAAAAGAAGCTGGTCTGTGTCAAGTTTTACATGATCACTGTGAGATTCCAAAAGTTCATGATAAAAAAAATGTGATTAAAAAAAGACATCTGTAATAATACTGCACATAGTTTAAGAGATCATCAAATTGCTTTATTCAAAAATATATTTTTCCATGTATTTTTTACACTTTCAGTTAAAATTAAGTAAATTGTTAAACTATAAAAAAATTACCTTTTTAGATTTATTTGAGATTTCTTTTGCCTTGTGTTGTCTACAGAAGCTATTTAAAAGTTCCAGACCTTTCATCAAGCATTACTCAAAGAATACAAGGATAATGAGAAGATTGTCAGTATTACAAAGATTAAAATCAGCCCCCTGAGACAGGAAATTTAACTGAAAACCATAATTTCTGTCAAAGTCCAGGTCGTGCATCTTCAAAAGTAGTTTGGGGTAACATTCAATAATAGTATTAGATTATGCTCTTGAAACAATTATTTTAAAATTTCTATTAAAAAGATTTTGAGGTAGGCTCATGTACAAATTTCCAGAAGGGAAAAGATGCAGACACAGTACTCAATTTTGATGTTCTAATTAAAAAGAAAATTTATAATCAGTTTGTTTGCATCTCCTCAGTTTCTCTGAAAAGAACCAAATTTTAAAATGACTGCTCTCCGGAAAGAAATTTGAATTTTATCAAGCTTCCCTACAGAACAGGACTAATTATTCATTATTCCTACTTAAAAGTCAACCACCGCTTTGGATTTGCTAGGAGTATTTTATCAATTTTATCTTGGGATATGCCTCTAATTAGCATTTTAGGAACTATATTTTCAAAGATATGTGAATATCCATGACCTCCATATTTCATCAACCTGTTCTTGGTGTGCACATCATGAGCCATCAGAATTCTGTCTTCATAGCCTTCATCAATCAGTATACGAATCCTGAAGAATTAAAAGCACACCTGTCAGTGAAAGTTCTCACTCTGCAGCAGCACAGAAGTAACCAGGATTTACATTTCTTATATTACTGTACTGCTGGACTCTATTATAGCAGAAAATAGTTATTTTAGGTGCTCAGAAAACATACTCCTTATATTTACTTGAAATTAAAACACATTTTTTATTGCATGAAAAAACCCCACCTCTGAAAACATACCACCACACATCTCAAAATGGAGAAGGAAAACTCTTTCCATTTGGCACATGGCTTTGCATTCCCAGTCCCGTGAAGTTCACAGAGGAATTCAAGAGCTTCAGCATCACCATGCATGGGACACAGGTTTTATATACATGAGTAAGTAATAGTTTCCTATCTAAACTCCTTCTCAGCAGGTTACTTCTTGCTGCCGTCACAAAGCTGATCCTATTACATTTGCTAATGACCAGACTGTGTGTGACAGGTCCTTTAAGGAGCCTGGCTCAATTGCACAAATACTTCCACATCTTCAGTTAAATCCCATTTAGCAAACCAGGTTAATAAAAATATGAAGTTGCCACCATCATGTTCCATATAGACAGTTATCATACAAACACATTTCAAAGATATTCATTAAGGAAGAACAGAAATAAGACTGGCATGGCACAGTGCTAGCATGTGCCAGGAAATAAGAGGAGTGAATATGGCAACCCAGCTGAACAGGCTTGGCAAAATGACAAGTCAGCTTGGAAAAAGAAGTAATCAGTCTGGTCACTCACTTGTACCAGGACTGCTACAAGTCCTTCTGTTTCATGTTTCACTCAGGTAGCCTTAATCCCTTGATCAGCTAATTTTTTAGAATTTATTAGGTGAGTCTGAACACCTGTATTGCACAACTGTTAAGCTTCCCAGTAAGTTTCAGTTTAGTTTGGCAGTAGATTCCTGCATTGAAGTGGCAGAGACAGACAGACCAGATCTGGAAAGTGCTTGTTCCTCATGTAGGCCTCCAATTCAGTCATTTGCCAGTACTGTGAAATTCTGATTCTTACCTTCCTGACTGTGCTTTGATCAACAAGAAAACAGATACTAGTTTTATAAGTAACTACACTGTATCTGAAAGCCCTTACTGTCAGTATTTATTGCAATTAGTTATGAGGAGATACATGTAGCGGGATCTAATCAATATGGGCAGCAGGAAGAAAGCACGTAGGATAGATTTTTGTAAAATATTTTCATCTTTCGGAAAAAAACACCATAACTAGTGCCATACAGTGCACAACACTATGTATACCATAGCATTACAACATCACAAGTATCTACTCCAGCCTGAAATACAGAGGGACTATAGAACAGTATTATAGAATATGATGAGTTGGAAGGGACCCATCAGGATCATTGAGTCCAACTCCTGACCCTTTGCAGGACACCCCAAGAATCACACCATGTGCCTGAGAGCTAAACTCTTCTTGAACTTAGACAGGCTTGGTACTGTGACCACTTCCCTGGGCAGCGTGTTCCAATTCTCAACAGAGAGTAAGAGCAATGGCACTGGGGAAACTAAGTTGTTTGCTGACCAAACATCATTTAGAATCATCTTCTTTCTTATTTGGACTAATTTCACGAGTTGAGGAGGCACATGATCCTTTCCATTTTGCATTCATCACTCCTTTCTGCTTATTCTTTTAAGTTTAGTTAGTACTTTCTTCTGACTCAAATTAAAACTGTCCCTGAACAAAAGTCAGTATTTTACTTGCATTAGCAGTAGGTTGCAGTCAAACTGCTGAAGTACACAGATGGCTAAACTGTGTTCAGTAGGTACATTATGACTACATAAGTTTATGTTTTGAACAGAAAAGACCTGAAGATATGTTTTCCCTTATGTATTTTCATATAGAGGTCAATTTGATTTCTACCTCTCTGGAGCTGTTTCACAAAAAAACCCCCTAAGGATATTGCCAGTGCCATCTCAAGTCCATTGTGGGTGCATCAGTATCCATTTAAGGGCACTTCTAACTCAAATGCACATTTTCACACCATACAATGAGAAGACAAACTTTTTGTCACTTCTTCCTATGAACAGCCTGCAGCAAGAAATACTCAAATGCCAGAGAGTTTAAGGAGAGACATCAGTGGCTGAGCAAGTATCATGGATGGAATGAAAACTCTGCCACGGTTGAACAAGCACTTGTTAACCAGAGCATAGTCCAGTTCTCTATATGTATTCCGCAGTGCTTCCGTAGAAGCTGACCTTCCGTGGCACAGGAGAGGAGGAGGCACAGGAGAGGGAGCACCTTTATCCATTCTAAATGTGAAAACTGCAGATTCATTGCAACAGTTTAAAATACTGAGTGCCAGACTGAGAGCACTGTTGAGAGAGAGAAACTATTCCTAGTGTGAAAAGCAGCAGCAAATGCTTGGCAGTGAGTGGAAGAGTAACCACAGCATCTTCTTAGGAGGGAACAGTTTGAAAACAGAGATTAGTTTCAAGGTTAAATCTGACAATGAGGGGGAGAGAAGCTATGTCTGAAATGTAAGTGGAAGCTAGAACTTACTTTATTAGTGATCAGAGATCATAAAATCTTTCTCATCAAGGAGAACATAAGAACCATTTTTTACTCTGGAAGGTAAAAAGACACAGGCAGGATGGCACTTCACCCCTCAGAAACCTGCCACTTCACTGCTCACAAACACTGTGGACAAACAGCACAGAAGGATCACACCTCCAGATGGAGTGGAAAGAGTGAGGTGCCCATTCCCAGCTGATCCTACTTCTCTCAGACAGCTTCTGCACAGAATGCATCTCCTTGGCAATACCTTGTGTTAGCACAGCACAACAGATTTGCTGTGCAGCTGAGCTGAGACTGCAGGTGCTGATGAGAAGCAGGGAAGAGGTATCCTGCTAGTGGGGCCAATATTTTCACATTGTGAGTGAGTGTGAGGAGCATGAGAGCTCTGAGGAGACAGGACTTGCATCCTTCAAAAGCGAGAAAGGGCAAAAGGAAAGGGGGTGGAAAGGTGATAAAGTGCTTGGAAAAAAAAAACAGTTTTTCAGGAGAGAAGCACAGGATCAAATCCACCCAAAACAACCAGCAAGTTTTGCTGGGTTAGCACACTACTGAGGAGATATGGCTCAGATGACACTTAGTAGCAGCACTAGGTTTCCAAAGCTATGTTTCAAATAAAAGCCAAACCCTAACATAAATCCAGTATCACCAGCCTTTTTTTTTTAAACAGATTGTATAAATGCAGTAAATTATAAAATTCAACCAGATCAGCATGGAATTAGGACGGAGAATGAAGTTAAAAAAGCTTTTGATGTTCTTCTCAAGTAACTTTGTACAACACTATGATTCTGCATCTTCCTCTGCAGATAGAAGAAATGATACATGCTGCTCTACGGGTGTGACTGCAGCAGGGGGAAATGGCATTATTTTAGTATGAAAGAAGACAATTTTGAACAGCAAGCAGAATCACTCTATGATGGTCTTAAGTACCAATAATATGTTTTTGTCAATGGTCATGCTATAGCTTAAACTGCATGGAAGCAGATACCTTGCAATTCTTTCATTGTCGTTCGGCATATCAATATCGGGATGGAACTGGTAGTGAAGAAATTCTGTACCAAATAGGTCATACTGTAAATAGCATCCAAGTTTAGCAAATTCCAGAAGTTTCTTTGTATCAAATATGGTCCTGCAGAACACATATAACACAGAGTCAGTACTGTAAAACAAGAATAAAATATCTCATGGCATGAGGACAGGAATTTTGTGACCTCCTACTTGCAAGGAAAAAAAACAATAATCTAAGATTTAATTCACCCTTTTGAAAAACAGGACTCCTATATGACACATGCAACTTAAGCTGATACACAGCATCGTCTTTCTCACATTCATTTGAGATTTCATGCATTTAAAAAAAAAACCAAAAAAATCCCCAACTCTTTCCCCATGAAATAATGAAAACATCTATGACAATCTTTAAATGGAAACAGGAAAGTTACTTACTTTTGATATCATTAACCCTCTCAACAGACAACCTAACCAGGAAGGACATTAAAGGAGGAGGTTAAT